AAAAAAGAGCACATTGATTAAATTAATAAATAAAATAATTATTTTTATAAATTAATTGCAATTTATAAAATAATTTGCAACCCAATAAACGCTCAAACTTTTGCTTTCACAAAAAGATTTATGAGTTTAACATAACCTTGCACTAAATTACATTTTACAAAGGAAAAAGAACACATTAATTAAATTAATAAACAAAATAATTATTTTTATAAATTAATTGCAATTTATAAAATAATTTGCAACCCAACGAAAGCTCAAATTTTTAGTTTCGTAAAAAGATATATGAGTTTAACATAACCTTGCACTAAACTAAATTTTACAAAGAAAAAAGAGCACATTTCTTAAATTATTAAACAAAATAATTATTTTTATAAATTAATTGCAATTTATAAAATAATTTACAATCCAATAAACCCTCAAACTTTTGCTTTCACAAAAAAATTTATGAGTTTAACATATCCTTGCACTAAATTAAATTTTACAAAGGAAAAAGAACACATTAATTAAATTAATAAACAAAATAATTATTTTTATAAATTAATTGCAATTTATAAAATAATTTACAATCCAATAAACCGTCAAACCTTTCGATTTCACAAAAAAAAAAAATAATACATACATTTAACATAACCTTAAAATAAAATAAGAAATATTTGAGAAACACTGCTGAAAGAACCCGCTGCCCCTCACCCTCCCCAATAAAAAAAGTGATTCGATATATATCGATACTATAGTGAATTTAATTTAATTTATTTATTGAAATAACCCCATTGCCCATCTACTCTCTTATGTGTTCCATACACAGAGCACGAAAAATCCATTCGTACTATCTCAAGCGGAAGCTGACAAGATTCAAGTACCCAAGCCGGATCCAACACTTTCTCAACGAGTTAGTTCACCAACAACCTCGTTCAACGTTCAGGACACTTCGGTAAAGGATCAGGATGAGAATCAGGAGAAAATACAAGGACTACGACAATCATCGGATAATCCGAATGCTGCTTTACAGTTTGGAAAATTCTTAGAAATGGCAAACGTTCATAGGAGGACAACAACATCAGCTGCATCAGCAACTTCAGCAACAGCAGCAACAGCAACAGTTGCATTGCCAGCCCCATACGTGTTTCCTGTTTTACCATACAGGTTACTTCATAGTTCTCTTCATCATACTCAAGATTCTTTAGGTCAATACGATTATAGTTATACAGGTGATTCAAGTGCTAAAACCGAATCAAGGTCATTGGACGGTACTACGAGAGGTGCTTATAGTTATATCGATCCCAATGGTATTTTACAACAAGTACATTACATTGCTGACCATAATGGTTTTAGAGTACTCGCTACTAATCTACCAGAAGCAAAATAAATGATCATATTAAGATTATTTTTTTATAATATTTTCATTTTTATACAGGCAACGAAAAAAAATACGAAAAAAGGGTTTTTTTTAGACGTATTTGAAAAAATTTCTAATATTTGAAGTACTGTATAAATATTACGGAAAATAATTATCTCGCTTATGAAAAATATGTTTCGTACAATAAATCATATTGTATCGTATAAAATGTGACTACAATTGTTCAATTGTCAAATCTGATTGTAAAATCAGACTTGGAAAAATATTATTATTATTATTATTATTATTATTATTAATTAGTGTATTGAAATAATTGATAAAGTAGGTTTAAGTATAATTTGAATTTTTTGCTAAATATACAGTTTTTTTTTTCCTAACCTGTACACCACTATCATATCATCCTTATTATCGTTGAAGTCATCATCATTTTTATTTTATTTAGATTTATTTTTATTTACTTTTATAATTATAATTATATAATTTAAATTATATAAAAAAATATACACTCATATCTATTTAATTTAATTTTATTTAATTTTATTTAATTTTATTTTATTTTTTTAATTATTTCAATTTTTATTTTATTTAAGTTTATGTAATTTAATTTAATTTAATTTAATTTAATTTAATTTTGTTTTGTTTTTATTATTTAAATTTTTATTTTATTTTATTTTTATAATTATAATTAAATAATTTAAATTATATAAAAATATACACACTCATATCTATTTAATTTAATTTAATTTAATTTAATTTTATTTAATTTTATTTAATTTTATGTAATTTAATTTAATTTAATTTAATTTAATTTAATTTTGTTTTATATTATTTTTATTTTTATTTTATTTTATTTTTATAATTATAATTATATAATTTAAATTATATAAAAATATACACACTCATATCTATTTTATTTAATTTTATTTAATTTTATTTAATTTAATTTTCATTATTTTATGTAATTTAATTTAATTTAATTTAATTTAATTTAATTTAATTTTGTTTTATATTATTTGAATTTTTATTTTATTTTATTTTTATAATTATAATTATGTAATTTAAATTATATAAAAAAATATACACACACTCAAATCTATTTAATTTAATTTAATTTTGTTTTGTTTCATATTATTTTTATTTAAATTGTATTTATTTTTCTATAATTATAATTATATAATTTAAATTATATAAAAATATACACCCTCCCATCTATTTTATTTTGTTTTATTTTATTTGTCAAAGCCATAATAATTTTTATCTCATTTTAATTTATTATATTTTCTTAATTACATTTTACAAACCTGTACCTTTATCATCATCCACATCATTATCTTTATTATTATAATCAAAATCATAATTATTTTTATTTATAATTATAAAAGATCAACCTACCTAGAGATTGGATCATATTACTTTAAAAAAACCTTTTTGTTTGTTTTTTTTATTTTTACATTTGTTTTATTGTATCGAATCTATTTTCTTAATGAGAAATAAACAAACGTTTCGCACATTTTCGTAGAACAATATGGATAATTATTGCCATTGGTTGGACGTTGAAATAACATGGAAATGCCAAGGGGTGATAACGAAATGGAACACTCATGGAAATAGTTTAACATTATCGATCTGTCTCTCTCACTCACTCATTCATTCTCACACTCTCTCATTCTCACACTCTCTCATTCTCTCTCTCCTCTCTCTCTCTCTCTCTCTTATTCTCATTTTTATTCTCGATTCACGTTGAAAATATTACAGGTGTGTGTCTATGCAAACGAATCAAAATCTGAAATACAAATTAATTCCTTTAAAAAAAAAAAAAAAATAAAAAAACAATGACAAAATTAGTTAAAAAGACAAAAAAATATTACCCAAATTATATTTTGTATAAATTTATATGGAAAAAATATAATGAATATTATATATTATATATTTTATTATATAAAATATATAATTATATGTAAACTAAA